TCGAGATACACGTCGTCGTCAAATAGGGTAAATATATTTCTCAGCAGTGTTGTTGGTCACGACGATGTGATAGTGCGTTGTTAGTTGAACTCAAGAGGCAGTGCATATGATAATCGACATCCGAACCGCGATCGTGGTTAAGAAGCCCATCGGGTGAACTCAAGAGGCAATGCATATGATAATCGTCATCTGATCGCGATCGTGGGTAAGAAGCCCATCGGTTGTTAGGTGAACTCAAGAGGCAGTGCATAGGATAATCGTCATCTGATCGCGATCGTGGGTAAGAAGCCCATCTCTTCGTCAGCGTTTGGGCTGGAATCGTTGGGGGTCTCTATACCCTGTTTGACAAGCGCCTGCTTAATGATTTTCTGCAGAGTGCTCTACCGAGGCAGCTTGAAGATGTGCCCCTAGCAATGAGGCAGAGGTGGATTTAGCACGACAGTATGGGGAAGATGTCCGGTACTGGTTGAATGCGACATGTCCGAGAAGGTGGAATGGACGTAAAGCGCCAATTGTATGGCCTCCTCGGTCGCCGGATCTAACTCCTGTTAGTTACTTACCTGTGGGGACACGAGAAAGAGTACGTTCCTGCAATCCCTTCCAGGAGGACCGTCTGTCTCGTGGCACGACTTCCAGCAGCCGTGATAGCGGTCGATGACAACATGTTAGGCGTGTTGGAGAGAACGCCGTGCGCAGCATGGACGGAGACCGCTTCGAATGCATGTTGTAACTTAGCGGACTGGATTCCCTACGAGGTCACTGGAGTTTCCAATTGGCCTAATCCATCCAGCCGCACTGTGACACTGGGGTCTACTCCGCTTCTAAAAGAAATGAGTACCTTGAATCTTCCTGGGGTTAGGGCTACCGACGCGTAAGGCAGACAACCTCACCGCCATCTGTGAGCCGATTGTCCCGATTGTTTAGAAAATGTGAGGACGTCGACGTCTCAAACCCCAGTGGGCCCTCCACGGACTGTTAAAGGGATAGCTTTGTCCTTTTCTTTTTTTACCATATTGTAGATACAAGCAGCCAGTGTTTTGATAATTTGATAGCGTGCGCCATTTGATGGGGATGTGTGTTCTGGAAACTAAATTTCACAGGAATTGTCTTGTACGAAATATAGACTTTTTTAAACAAGGAATCATAATTGAGAGCTTGTGCTTGAATTGCGTTTCATTCTTTGTATTGTTACGGTTATATGTGTTCATACTCGTACTGTTAAAGGATAGTTGAAACTCGGGAATGCCAGTATGTAAAGGTCTGTCGAAAGTGTTAACAGTAGCTTGCCTTGTGCAGAAAATGGCGATTATCCATCTGTGTCTGTGTATGGAATACTGTGAAGATAATACTTGGTATCGAAGTCGATTTTAAGGTGTAGGTTTAGGTCTTGTTACCGAACTGATTCAGGTCAGTGTGAGATCTGCCACTGGTGTTATGAACGTAATGTTTACTATGGGAAGCGGTGTTGGGCCAGTTGGAAATATCAAACTCATTCTTTTTTTATATAATTCCCTCAATTGCTAAATATTTTAATCCTGGTTTAGTTCTTGCATTTCATTTTTTTTTACGTACAATAATTGACCGACTCAGCCTCTTATAGAGGTGGCCCCAGTTTCCAAACACTGATAAAATTATAATATGATCAAGGGTTCTGACGGGATTCAAAATCACCCAGGACACTGCAGGGTGGAAGACAACAAATTACTGTTCTGTCTTGCTTATTTAATGACACTCTTAGTTGCTGTCAGATTCTGTACTGTTGAATGCTGAATAATGAATTGAGAACGGTGTAAATTAAGCCGTCGTTTCCAAGATGGCCTAAGGAGATCCATGGAAGTTGCCGCGAAAATCGTTTTCCGGGCTAGGATTTTGCCTGTGGCGTTTTGAATATGAAGCAAAAATTGCTACCCACTTGACCTTCACCTGTTTGGTTCTGGAACAAACTATACATGGAACATGAGTAATGTTTGCTTAGATAACTCGAATGTGTGCTAGCATGGAGTAAGAAGACCGGGTTATTGCCCATGTGTTCCCAAGTACGAGGTTCTAAACTCATACCAGCATGTTGGACCGGACTGTAGTTCGGGACTACCCGCAGCGGTCGAAGTCATGACTAAAGATATTGATTACAGAATGGCCCCAACTCACGAGATGCCGATGTCGGATGTTATCACATTTGTAAACAGTGAACGCATGTACTTGAAATAAACGTACTTGTACAGCAGGAAGCTGACATTTGCCTGCATTAATTGTGGATGCTTCGTAGGTGTTCAAGAAACGGGCAGTGAAGTAAATCTCTTTGGAACACGATGTGCAGTTTAACGAAGTCTTCGAAAATGCGCGAGAAGAGAGGACTCTTGAATGGATGGAAGTAGTCACGGCATCGAAGGGGCAGCCAAGCATTATTATCTCGCTTTCAAATGAAGGCAAACGGGTTTTCGGCAGCGGAGCTTGGCCTCGCGGTCGACCGCTTGGCTGGCCAAGCTATGCTTGACCGCGCATTGTTGCCAACTTGAGAAGGAATTGAAATTTTACACTTGAAAGTACAGTAATATAAATTAACTGAAGACGTAAGTTTGGACCGCCTGTTATGTTGATGTAGTTTATTTACATTTTTTTTTTCAGATTCATAATTTTGTGTAGTCGGAATATGCTGATGACCGTAGTTTTTACTTCGAAGATCGGCTCTCCTCCCTCATACTATTTCTACCCACCCCCTTGTACATCCATACGCGCGCGCGGCCATATCTCTCGGTACAGCTATATACCCGCTTTCAAAAATCAATGGCGCCACCCGTTTCCAAGGTAGGGGTTGGGGATAGGGGTAGGAGAGTTTCATCCCCACATAACCGTAGGTTCCCCTTGTGACAACTGGTAGAAATAAATTGCCCCGGGTTCTGAACAACACGTCGATAATACAGGAAAACGAAAATGATGGTTTTGTAGTTCCACCTTACCCCTGCGTCTCGTCTCAGCCCTCCCAAGGCCCTACTGAATAGAGGACTGGCTATAAAATGGCAGAGCTGATGTATATCTGCAGTTTTCTGAAGTTTTCCTACGCGTTATGGTATGTTCATTTAAACTGTTATGTAGGAATTAACGCCGTTTATGATTCCTATTTAAGAGGGAAGGAGTTTCGCGAGAAGGTTGCCGTTTGTCTTGATATGTCGTCCTAAAATTGCAGCCATAATGCTAAAGAAATCATCAGAATCAGAGATTTGCCCCAGCCCAAGGCGAACCTAAAAAGTAGCCTTGTCATGAATTTCAGATTTCAGTTACAATTTGGGAATTGTCCAAAAATTACAGATAAGTTCTAGTGTATGAATTAGGGTTTTCTGCTTTCGTGAATCGTGTTTGAATGGAAAACCTGGGCTGCAATACAGTAGAAGCTCCAAGGTGGCATTGGACTCAAATTGTATTGACCCTCCCCCCTTACAGTGTTGCTATGAGCGACCTACATGCATGTTTGGTTTGCCTCATATTAGAGGGTTCTTATATTAGACTTCATTGAAATGATAAGGAGTTTGCTTCTTAAACGAAAGGCAAAGAAACAGCGGAATGGTGTACTTGTTTGGAGTACAAATGTTTTGCCAGTGCATTCTTATTGGTTCTCTGTACCCCCCCCCATTGGTCTTAATAATTTCTTCATATGCAGACCAAGTCCCACTGCATAGATTAAAATACAGGGAGATTCTTATCTTTGTTGACTGCTTCAGGGGAACCAGTGCACCTCCTATCTTTGTTGACTGCTTCACGGGAACCAGTGCACCACCAGCTGTGAAGTGCATACAAAATTTGCCGATGAATCAGTATGCCTGATGGCCGATAACGTTTGGAATGAAGGAAAGTTATTAACTCTGTGGACCACTTAATGGCATTATGTTTTACTTCAAGCAGTGCAGTTCATGCATGGGAATTTATGGTTTGTGAGCAGTTGGCAGCAGTTATCACCATTAGCTGTTTGTTCTCAGTTACTGTTACTGAGCAGTGTGTTCCGTCATGTTGCTGTATACTTTAGAGCAGTGTGTGGTCCAATATGGCACCTATGTGAAATATGAATCTGCTAAAGCTGTTGGCAAAAATTTTGACACAAATTTCATGATGAAAGTTCCCAGCAGACAAAGAATTCACTGACTTCGTAGGCAAGAAACAAAAACATAAGTGCCGAGTGCTTACTGAGGAGAAGTCAGATGACATAAGGGCCAGACTTGAACACAGGCCTAGAAAATCACTAAAACGTCTAGCTTGAGAGACTGGTGTGTCAAAGTCTATTGCAAGAACGGCAACATAATTTGCTGAAGCTTAGACTCGATAAAAAGAGTGATCTAGGCCTTGCAGCCGTGCAGTCCAGCTAGCAGGATTAATTTTTGCAGTTGGTTTCTACAGCCTATTGTTGAAGGTGAGATCAATCCACTGTTGACAGGAACATTTTCAACATCACCTGTTATCTTTGAATTGTAACTGCTTCATTCCAAATGTTATTGGCCAACAGGCATATTGATTCATCGGCAAAATTCACACATACCTTCCAGATGGCAGTGCTCTGGTTGCCATGAAACCCAGAGCTGTGAATTAGTCAAAGATAAGAACCTACCTGTATATTATAAAAGGTTAATTAATTTTGTCCAGTGTGATGGCTGAAGTTTTTTCCTTTTTAATATTTTATCCTTAACATGTTTCGGTCTTAGAGACCAACTTCAGAACTATATCAATACAATTAGAAACCACTATTACAATATGTATTGATATCCTTCTGAAGATGGTCTATAAGAGTGAAACATCATAAGAATAAAATATTAAAAAGGAAAAAAACTTCTGTCACACTGGACAGAACTAATTAACCTATTATAATATTGTTAGTGTGATGGACCAGGATGAAACAGATCAAACCTACCTATATATTTTTCCTTGTATTTCATTTTGAAACTGTATAGTCAGTATGCTGATAACTTCCAAATGCCCTTATTTTTATTAGTTCTTTGTTTTGTTTTTTTCCATAGACCATGTTGGATAAGGAGAAGAAGCGCTTTCATGAGATGGCTGAAAAGGATAAGAAACGTTATGACTCAGAAATGGAAGGTTACACACCAGCAAAGGGTGAGAAAGCGCGCGGTAAGAAGAGGAAACATGTCAAGGATCCCAATGCACCAAAAAGATCATTGTAAGTCATGTTATCTCCTACTGCATCGCCTCATACAATAGTTTCTTGTTGATAGTAGTGATGGTGGTATATTTGCTGGTGTAGTAATGGTTATGGTAATGTTCACCCTGTGCTTGCTTAATTAAGCACAGTGCCATGAAGATGGGGTGTTAGAAGTATAGCTGCACGCATCTAAACCGTGGCATTGGTTGAAGGTGAGTGGTCCTGGCATTCAGAGGAAAGCTGCAGGTACGAATTGGATAGTTGGGGCTTGGGAACCTGTCTGGACATATCAGAGAGGAAATTTTTCATCATGAATTGAACAAGTTACTCATGTGGGACGGTAATTGTGAAACTTTCTTTTTCAATTTTCAGCAGACATTTACTCTTACAGTAGGTGAGCTTCCATTTGCCCTCATAAGAGGGGTTCGGAGTACTAATAAGGTAAAAACTATCCCTGTAACATGTGGATGCTCATAGGGTTGTGAGATGTCAGGGATCCTTCATTTTCTAGACATTCAACTCACAGGTGGCGGTGTGAGTGTCAGCTTTACTCGCTGGCCACCCCTTACCCCCAGGAAGATTCCTGGTACTCATTTCATTTAGAGGTCAACTCGATCCACAGCCATTGTGTGACTAGAAGGATGGGATCAATTGAAAAATCCAAGGACCTCATCGGTAATCAAACCTGTGACCTTCCAGCTTATGGCCTAGTGCCTCAACCAACTGTGCGTACCTACATTAGGAGTAGTAGTGGTCCTCATTATTACCTCACTCAAAACCATTACCTGATGTATCTTCTGTTTCTATCATCATACATTTGTTCTGAGATGTCTTTAAGTTGTAACTGTTCATTGAGGTTGTTTTTAGTGGCATTAAACCCTGAAAGCCCACAGATAATTAAAACTACAATATTTTTTCCAGTGCAGACAGTTGCAAAAGATTTTGAATACTCGGTTTATTCAAGATATGTCATTTCTTAGCTGCCAGAGATTTTTCTCCCCATACACTTTCATTGCAGTAATGTAGATCTGAAGGGTCCTCATACTAAATTTGGCTTTCTGCAGTTGATAGTTCAGGAGGGACATCAGATTTTTGGTGAGGCAAAGATTGATGATGTAAAATAAGTGCCACTGATCACACTGTCTCTTAATGCACTTCTAGATGGAATCAGAGTCTGAGAAGCTGTATATATGTTTTGTGACCAGAAAGATAACATCCTAGGAAAGTGGGATGGGTTAAAATTCCAAGGCCCACCATGTGTGTCTGTAAGCATGTGGGAGTGAATTGGAAGATAGTGGTAGGCCAGAATGTAAAGCGTTTTACTCAGTGTGCCCTAAAAATTATGTGTACATTTTTAATTTTCGGAGTTAGTTAGTTAGTTAGTTAGTTAGTTAGTTATTGGAGAGGGTGGATTTCCCCATGCACTTAGACCAGTATTGGTCCATTGTGCTTCCCTCTCTGATATTCTACCAGTCTCTATATCCTACGGATATTGGTGCATACCATCAGTCCCGACCGAGCCAGTGAGTTCGGCCTCCACTAGCTTGGCGGTATCTATAATGCTTCCCCCATCTATCAGAGGTGTTAGAGACTACTTGTTGGGTGGGAAACATCCTTGAATTTGGCTCAGTGACCTCCTCTGGAGATATGAGGTTCTTTTGCGTGCCTTAAAGCTATGACATGGGACACACGGCTTAAAAGTCCCTCCCGGAGGACTTGTTCCCTGAATTTTTCCGCCCTTAAAAATTCGACGACCTCCGCCGGGTTTGAACCCACATACCACGAGTCATGAAGTGGGAACATTACCTCTAGACTACGGAGGCTGCTAATTTTCAGAGTTAGTTGCAGAGTTCTTAAGATACAATGGAAAAACAGGTTGTTTTGAAAAGTTAATTAAAGAATTTGGATTTGCCAAATTACAAATATGCCTTGTTGAAAGTACATAACAGGCTGTTTGTTTCTTGAAGATTATATTATCGCAGTCACCCCTCTATGGAGGCATTCCTGATATTTCACGCATGTGTCCTATGGCAGCATTGCATCCCCAAAGGATTTCTAGCAGTGTTTTCATGAATACCTTTCAGCTCTTCAGTATCCCTATCAACATAGCCACGGACACTTCTCCACATCAGTAGTCCAGGTGGCTCTCTTCCAATCCAGAGAAACTGGCTTAAATGATCCAGATTCTCTAGTCAACGATCAGCAGCAGTAAATGTTTTATTGTTTTGGATAGCGTTGATGCGAAATGATCCTGTTACAGTCATATGGCCATGCTACCATTACAGTTAGCACAGCCATACATCAGAAGCATGTCCATTGGTTTGTTAAATGAATATCCAACCATTGTATGTGTGTACAGGTATTCAACAGAGCACATTGTTTTACAAGAACATTATTATTTCACAGTACACACTTGGTACACTTCAGGTACATAGAACTGACTTTGCATTACTACACATGATCAGCCCATCATACCAGCATCACTCAACTGTTGCAAATGGACTACTTGGTAACATTAGGAATGTGTTTGACACAGTAGGTAGGACTGGGCAGTTACTATCCTACTGGTAAGATATGAGACATAGTGGCCTCTGTAGTCTAGAGGTAAAGTTCCCACCTCATGACTCGTAGTACGCGGGTTCAAATACCCAGCGGAGGTCATCGAATTTTTAAGGGCGGAAAAATTCAGGGAACAAGTCCTCCGGGAGGGACTTTAAGCTGTGGGTCCCGTGTCGTAGCTTTACGGCACGTAAAAGAACCTCATATCTCCAAAGGAGGTCACTGAGCCAAATTAATGGATGTTTTCCGCCCAACAGCAGTCTCTAATATCTCACGTAGATGGGGGAAGCATTATAGATACCTCTCAGCTAGTAGAGCAGGTCTCGCTGGCTGGGCGGGACTGATGGTAAGCACCAGTACCGGTAGGATATAGAGACTGGTAGAAATTATAGAGGGAAGCACAATGGACCAATACAGGTCTCAGTGCTTGAGGAAACCCACCCTCTCCAATAACTAAGATATGAGACATCAGTTGAATAGGTAATGATGACCACCTCTTTGGTCTAGTGGTCAGAGTTCTTGACTACAGATCCTGAGGCCCCGTATTCAATTCCCGGCACTACCAGATTTTCTGAGAAGTAGTGGGTCTGGAACGGGGTCCACTCAGCCTCGTGAGGATAATTGAGGAGCTATTTCAAGGAAATAGCAGCTCTGGCCTAGAAAACCAAGATTAACGGCTGTGGAGATTCGTTGCACTGACCATGCAACACCCTCTATCGCCTAAAGTTGGTATTAACTTCGCTGACAAGCGGCGGTCAGTCGGTCAGTACGCTTTGCTTGTGGGCTCAAGCCACAGAGTTTGTTTTGAATAGGTAATGACAGTGTGACATGTTGACCCCTACCTCCCCAGCGGCACGTAGGGGGAACGTAGCGCTCGCGTAATATGTGAGTCATCACCCTGCCACTCTCCCCGCGGTGACGTCACGAGCGGAGCCGAAGTTAGCCGAGTCCCCGCATCCTGATAGCTATGCAACGCGCGGTGACACGGAACCACTTCCTACTGTGACGTGGCCCGCAACAGGCACCACTGCGGATATATAAGGGAACCGCACAGCAGCTACCAGTCAGTTTTAAAGTAACAGTCGCCGAGTCGAGTTGTAACGTGGCCATCGCCGAAGATAGTTCCGAGCGAGTGTGTTATCAACAGTTCTCCAGTGAGCAGACTACAGTTGGAGTATAGCAGCCGTCGCAGAAAGAAGAACCGGACGTGTGTGTGATTGATACATAGCTCCCCTACTGTAAACGTGTAGACTACTGAACACAGAGTGAGCTGATTTGCGCATAGGGTTATAAAGTGTGAAACCCCGCAACAGTGTTATAATTAATTGTAGCCGTTATTTGTAGATTGTTCAATAAACCAGTTAACGATCTCTACGGCGTATTCAGTAACGAAACACGTTGCAACAGTAATATTTTCGGCTTTAAGCCACAGGTTAAATGTTTTCAGACAATTTGATATGGACATTTCTCTTGTCTTGGTATGTTGAGCTCATGCCAAAAGTTTATCTAAATTTTCAGTTACATTCTGTATATGACCACTTAAAGTCTGGAGCAATGACTGATGTCCTAGACAGGAATGAAGTAGTCCCCAAGCTGTGGCAGTAATTAGTAGGGCCCGAATTTTTTTAAAATGCATATTTTGAGGGTTTTTGGTCGTTATTCCATAATCTAAATGTAAGAGCATATTTCTGCATACATGTTTGAAATTAAGGATGAGACAACTGATTTATGTGACCGATGAATAGCAAATTTCGTAGTTAAGCTACATCCAGACGAACGTGGCAACCCTCATCTTGCTTGCTAAGCACTAGAGAAAACCAACCATAGCACAATAGCAAAATTTGTAAATGATTCTTTGTGACTACTAAGGCCATCTGAAATTGAGAATAATTGTTGTAAGGTGCTTGTATTACTCACAGATGGAGCTTCCTCCTATATGTTTAAAGCAGCAAAGTCCTTACAAGTATTATATCCACATCTTATATACGTAACCTGTTTAGCACACGGATTACACCATATTGCAGAAAAAATACGCGCAGTTTCCAGCTATTAACGATTTAATTGCAAGTAGGAAAAAACTGTTTCTGAAAGCACCAGCTCGTGTCCAGTTCTGCAGAGATCGCCTACCTCAGGTTCCTCTGCCACCTGAACCTGTCCTAACTAGGTGGGGGACATGGTTATCTGCAGTTTCATTTTATCAGGAGAATTTCAACCAAATAAAAGAAGTGGTTACAAAACTTGAAGATGAGAATGCATGTGTCCGTGAAGCAAAAATGATGTTTAGAACTGATACTGTTTATCAAGATGTGAATTTTATCTATGCACATTTTTCTACACTTTCAAAAGCCATTGAGTGCTTAGAATCTTGTGGTGCACTCCTTCATGACTCACTTGAACTCGTTCAGAAAGCAACTTGTTCACTGAATTTCGCACTAGGCGAAATTGGAGACAAGATTAAATGCAAGTTAGAAATGGTGTTGAATTCGAACCCAGGACTGAAAAAGATTCAGTCAATCAGTCAGTACTTGAGTGGAATTAGGGTATCTCTGCCAGATGAATGTTCCAAACCTTCGGCGCCAGTGTATGAATACTGTCCAATCACGTCAGTTGATGTAGAAAGATCATTCTCAGCCTATAAACTCATTTTGATGGACAATAGATGTACACGTAGTTTGTCTCCAGAAAACGCTGAAAGACTTCTAGTTGCCTATTGTGATTTTACTTTCTTCAGTGAATGATACATGTAAATAGGCGAGTCTGAATAAAGCGACCTGTTTCTTAAGGGCATTGTTTTATTTTTGGTGCATATTTTAAGTGTTTAGCGCATAAAGATCCAGGCCCTAGTGGTTAGTCACAAGTTGCTCGTCAACTACAAAGTGGCTATTACAAAGTAACACCCAGTTTGTGGCCCTTGGCCTGGTTACATAAAGAAGCATCACTGTGGGGTAACTCGGTTGCACATTCAACACAAATCACTCTCATAACTGAGATACAGGGCTGAAATAAGCATAATCTCACAACTTTTTTCCAGGTCAGCATTTTTTTGGTTTTGCAATGATGAACGTAGCAAGGTGAAAGCCCTGAACCCAGAATTTGGTGTGGGAGATATAGCCAAGGAACTGGGTAGAAGGTGGTCTGATGTTGATCCCGAGCTGAAATCGAAGTATGAAGCAATGGCAGAAAAGGACAAGGCGAGATATGACAGGGTGAGTTGTAATTTCTTTTCTTTCTCTCCCCCCCATATTTTGTGTGCCCATGATCATTTTGTAGTCATCTTATAAGTGGCAGCAAGCATTCCACAAATGTTCAATGGGGTCTTTGTGTATATAGTTTCTTGGTTTCAGTCCCAAAGTATTTGAGGTTCCCATTGGCTTTGAATGTAATGTTAACTTTTGTTTATTTTGATTCTTTCCTGAATTCCAGTGATATGAACACATTTTGTGTTCTCTGTGTTTGCTTAATGGAAAAATTTCTGTATTTATCTCTTCTTACTGTGGGGAGTGTATATTTTTCTGCCCTACATTATAGTGCCGAGGCCTGAACACGTATTCACTTCTCTCTCCGTTTAATTTGCTTTGCATACTTTTGAGATAATATGTTTCTCCTTCAACATCTGAGTACATTGGTACATTGACTTTTCATGAAACTTAGGATGAATATGTTGCATTGAGTAGCATTTCACCACAGGAAACAGTTGATATAGTATTGTGTACAAGGGAAGTTAATCGACATTGCCTGAAAAGTGGGAGAAGGTTTGAATTTGCAATACTGTGGGACTAGAAAACCTTGATACTCTGCTAGCACCATTCACTTTGTTCTTTGTCTCTCATCATAAACTAACATGTTTTGCCACATAGTTCATTATGTGACAAGTGTGTTGCTGTTAGCATCTGACAATGAAGAGTTCACTCTATAAGTACCAAACTTGATTTAATTTAACCTTAAAACTGAAAGACTAATCAGAGGATATAGAAGATTGACATGGCACACAGAGCTGTGTGCATGCCATATTTAAACTTAATAATGGGTTGAGTTATTGACCACTATAGATAGAACTAATATAATTGCAGCACTAACATTGTGAAACGAACACTAAATCACATGTAACATAATATTTATTCCTAAATATGTCCATTATCTGATAACTGTATGTGTCCTGGAGGCAAGGAAGAAAGACATGTAAGCTGTAATGACTATGCTTTCAGTGTGCTTATCTTCATCTTTGTCACTACCTAAGCAAATAGGAGAATTTGCAATTTATTTTGCCCATTGTTAATGTTCATACTCTATGCATAATTGGAAATGCCCCAATCAAAGGATGTGATGTCCAGTGCACTTGTGACAGGTTCTTTGTAGCCTTAATATGTCATGTATTCGGGGTTGTGTGAATAATAAGAATGGGCTCTAAATTTGATAATTGGGTTCATTAGGGCTTCATTACAATCAGTTATCACAGCTCAGAGTTAGTGGCTTCCTATGTCTCTTCCACTGTGATGAATGAATAATCTCTCCCCAATGAATGATGATTCTGTCTGATAGAGGTTCAGTGTATTTTATGATGATGTTTTCGTCAACCTATGCCACGTGATGTATCCCATTCTGTTCTAAGCCAACCTGATTTTCTTGGTTCTTCTACAGTGAAATGGGAAAGCAGTGGTGATAAGAAAATCTCCTTCAGGCTATTCTGGATGGCAAATGCATCAGACCCAAGCACAGTATTGTATTATCAGATGATAAATGCATTTACTATGCATTGCTGTTAGCCCTTTGAAGTACTCCTAGTTTGCTTGGGACTCTCCGAGTCCAGTGATTGCCCCCATTGTTGGAAGCTTTTACAGAAGCTGTGTGTTTTGAACTTGGCAAGTGGAGCCTGTGTTAAACTGTGATTTCATCTCTCTCCAGTGCCAGCTTGACTTTCAGAAAGACAGAAACAGTACACATTGTTAGATCTGGCAGTACAGAAGGTGCAGAACAGCAGTCATGCTTTNATGGTGATGGAAGAACAGATCTCCAGTGCACCCCTTCCTCCTCCAGGGGAGCAAATTATGCTATTCTAAAACCTAACAGAATTTTTATTTAGTGTGTACATTATCATTTTTGTTTGCAGGAAATGACTGCATACAAGAAGAGACCTAAGGGAGGCATGCCAGTGGCACAGGCTCCACTCTCAAAGAAACAGGACAGTGAAGATGAAGAGGATGAGGATGACGAAGAAGCAGATGAAGATGACGAGTAAACTCTCAGAAAACTTGTCAGGTTCTTCGTCCCCTCGTTCATTCATTCAGACTGTGTGCACGAAGAAGAGAGACTGAGAAGATCGTTTGTTCATACATACTTCGCCCTCCCTCCTTTCATTTCATCATCCCTTGAAAGATCGGAAATTAAAAAAAAAAGTTGCCCTTCCCCCCCCCAGTGTACATATAATATTCATTTCAATGTTTTGTGTTATCCTTTACTTTTCATCTTCATTTGAAGTACATTGAGTACAAATGTTTTGTGTTTTCTCTTCATCTTCATTTTTAAGTACGTTCAGTACACAATTTAAAGTTCGGTTCCGTGAATGACATGATTTTGTTGCGATTCAGTGGTCGTAATCCATTACATTTTTAAGACTTTGCTACAACTGTCAGGCTGTTAATATATTGTTTTTAAAATAAAAATGTAGGAGTAAGTAATCTGATTTCCTCTTCTTTTTGCTTACCTATGAAGATGCATACATATGGCATCAAATAATTGCCATTGCTTTGTGGTTTGACGGGTTTCAAAATTGTTTTCTAACTATGGAAAACTGGCTATCACCAAAGTCATTACCAGTTTCATTTCCGTTTTGGAAACTACCATATTTTCTGGTCTTTCATGAATGCTGTGCATCTGACAGACAAATAAAATCAGGGTTCTGCTGCCTGCTTTTAGTATGTAGGATACTTATATCTACTGTAAAAAAGAAAAACTTTGGTGTTTGCCAGTATCAGACAATTATATTTGCTGTGAACCAGTTTCTTTTAAAGCAGTTATCTGTTTGTGTGTTCTTTCATTAGTAAATGTGTAGAATGAGAGCAGGAATTGATTACACTCTCATTCGCAGAGCAGATTATTTTTATTTAATTAAACGGTTATGATATAGGTCATTGCCGCAAGTCAAGATTTATCTGTAATTTTCTTTTTCTTTCCATCCTTGGAGGTGCAGACTGTCTCAGCAGCAACCATCAGCATGTTCAGTGGTACTTTTCAACTGAACAATATTCACCAGCCAATAGACACTGTGGTGTGACCACACATGTGCAGATTCAAGCTCCCCTTGAATAGAGGAGTTTATTAAGACAATTTAAAGAAATACCATAGCCTGTTCTCTTTTTGAGGGAAGATTTCATTTGATGGAATTTGTAGTGACAAGGTAAAAGGGTTCTCTGCGTTTCTCGTGTTTTTCGTGTCTATAACCTTTAACATTCCTCAGAAGAAAAACATTTTAAAAAGTCCTAAAACTAGAGAATTGAATATATATATTTCATTGAGGAACCATAATGGAAATTTGAAATCACCATCTCATTTTGTCTTTGAGATAACATACTGTAAGTGAACATATGAATGAAATGTTAGAATATTTTATTACTGATTTGCAGTCTAAAAGTGTGTTTCGACCTGTTTCTCAGCTGCAGTGGACTGGTAAAAGTGAATTTTGAAAAATCTTTTAACAGATTTGCTCTGTGTTATTTTTAGGGAAATTCAAATAGAGAAAAGGGCAGTGTTTGTTTTGTATCTCATAGGGATAAATAAACTTTTCAAAAAATCAGTTAATCAAATACCGTTGAGATTTTTTTGTACATTTTGCCCTCTAATCCTTGTCTTTTATTTACAGCAGTTGTCAAGTTGCAGACAGTGTGATGAAGTCTGCCAGTAATAAATTTAGGAATTGGATGTAGAAATGGAGAAGTTGGTTGCTTCCAGCTGATGTTTCTCAACCTGTTGTTAAATCAAGATTAAATATAAAATTGGAAACTTCTTTGTAAAGCAATGAAGTGTATATCTGTGGGTCCTACTTCTGCACAATTCTTTTTATTAGAACTTTTTCCTGTCAGCAGGTTCTATTTAGTCATCATTAGATTTGTACTGTTAATTGAGTGTTCCAAATTAATACAGGTTACTTTTTGCAGATCAAATAGCTGAATGTACTGAATGATAGTTTTCATTTCTTTGTGAACTTGTTAAGTAGCGAAGTCCTTACTGCTGTACTGGCTACTGCTAAAAGCATGGAGAAGTTATTGTACAGGGTTATTCATAAGTCTGTGAAACTGGCTGATGCCTCAGTTGAATGTAGACAGTAATGATTACCTCTTTCAACAAAACTGCTGTCTGGCTCACTACCACAAAGACATGGGAGATATCAATCAAATTGTGCCACAAACACGGATGGGACAAGAAGATGACGCGTTAGTGAGGTGGCAATCGCAGTCCCCAGATTTAACCCCTTGTGACTTTTTCTTCGGGGAGGCTTTGTGAAAGGTCCTGTCTTTGTGCCTCCATTGCCTGCTAATCTCAGGGATCTTTGCAACCGTATCACTGCCGCGGTGGCTCTGGTCATCCGTGATGTGGTTACATGGGCGTGGGATGAAATGGATTATCATATAGATGTCTGCCCTATCAGCAAAGGTGGACACATTGAGCATCTGTGAACTATGTAAAAAAAGGCTTGGTGAGTTTATCTCTATTTCACTGAATAAAATTGGATGTCTGTCGTGTAGTTTGTATATTGTAAATTTTCAAAATGTTTCACAGACTTATGAATGATCCTGTATTGTCCTATGAGATTTTGCATGTGTAGCTAAAGTGGAATGAATGGTCAAACCAGAGACTAAATATGAACTTGATACTCATTAATTTCAAATTATGGATGACGCAGTGGTTATAGGTTGCTGTGAATTGTAAATGCTTATATGTCATGTTGGTATCATTGGGAGTCATTATGTGAGGGAAGAACACAATGCATGGAGTTTTAAGGAGTGAATTTCTCTCTTGTAAGCTAGCATGAAGAGGCTTGTTAGTTGCATTTTCTTTCTTAAACATGTGAACTTCTACATTTTTTGAAGAGGGTAACATCCAAGCTTGGAGTTTTTATTTTTAACAGAAATGAAATAGTAGTACTTGAAGTACAATTTCTGTCTCTAGCCACAAGCACTTGACCCCCCCCCCCCCCTTTTGCCATGAAACTTTTTCCAAATGTTTTCTGCTAGACATGCAAATGAAGCAAATTGAGGTATGAAACATTCAGTACTTTACATATACATATGTTAGTGCGCTACGTTTTAGAAATAGTCGTACCAAAATCATAGTTGAGTGGTTAGCATTCCTAGTTTGTTCCTGGGTTCAAATCTTCACTCAGACTGGCTGTGCTTAAGTGATTTTTCTCAAATATTCCAGGCCTCGAGGCTGTGACTGCTTCCACACCTTTTCCATTTCATTGTTCATTAATCTTTATTTTATATAACAATCTTAGTGGTTGAAAAGTTTTATAGATAAACCAAAGAATAAAATAAAATATGAATGGTTTAAAGTAAGAGTAATCTAATTTTCTTGCCTGTTTTGGTAATCTAGGGATACTGCCATGATTTGTTTCATTCTGGTCTGTCACACAAATAATATGAAAAGTTAAAACAGTTCATGATCTTAGGAAGTAATTCCATGAGATCAGAACAGGCCTACCTGTGGGAAGTATCATTTTGACGTGGAACTTTCGGATTGTCAGAAGTCCCTTATAAATGAAGTGCACTTCATTGATCTGGAAATCACTTGTTTGAAGAGAAGTATATAAGTGCAGCGTTGCTAACTTTTCCATCCTACCCAAATGCTTTGCTTTTCACTTTAATTTTGGGCATCACTAATGTCAAGAGAACAAGCGTAATGGAAAGTATTAAGTTTGCTTTAGACTGTGGGTTGAGTGACATTAATTTAAATTTGGAACAGTGAGATAAGACGTTTGCTTGTAGCTACATTTATTGTAATCTTCTATATAGTACATCATACATTGCTGACAGAGAATGTCAGTGGGTCCAGCTGAAAGGAGATGGTGAATTGCCTTAGCAGGCAGTTTCTTTGTGCAAATTGCATGCATCATGATGGCATAATCTGTGTTATGTTCTTGGGTGTGCTATGCAGCTTTTATTACAGTTAATATTTCTCCCTCTAGAAATATGAAAAGAAACCAGAGGTTCACATTTTTTCTGCATTGTTTTTAAAAGTTCATTGACCTCTTGGAGCTGAGGATTTCAAATATGAAATAATATGTGGGGGCTGGGATTACATACAGAAAAGTCAGCAGTTTATTGAAGTTATTTTTTTTTTCCAGTATTGGAACCTCAGGGGTCATATTTCCAAATAAAAGAATTCCAGCAGCTCACAAGTAACCAGTTTTTGACTGTCAGTAAGGGGAGGAAGTGGCATTAGACTCTCAGCTGCTGACAGGTTTTTGCATCTTTTGAAAGCTACTAAATTCTGTTTTCAACATAAGACAGGAGCCAAAATTTCTGAATGGGAGGCTGTAATGAATGCACAGTTCTGTAGGATTCTGTCTAAAGTGTATGGCATACCTTGAGCAGTGTTTTAGACAACATACAGTTACTGGAGGAAAATTTTCAGCTGCAGAGAAATACAGGTCATCTAAAAAAACATTGTCCAGTTCATTATGAATAATGTCACTTCCAGGATTCAGATGTTTGTGAGTGATAATTTCTTCTGTAGTGACAGGCTCTGAATGCCTCAGTTTTACATGTTGTCTGAGGTCAGTGGAAGTGCTTTTCCAGTACTTTGCTTTCATTTGCAGTTAACATTCAGTGAATTTAGACACTTCCTAATATCATTTCTTGAGGCCTGTGTATGTGGCATATTGTCACATGTTGGGTGTGTAACGCGACAAATAACTTCACTCCATATTGAATATAGTGAATTTATTGAACACACTCTCTCACTCATACAATTCACAATTTCCCAACTACTGCCATCTGCAATATCACACTGCTTACATTCGCTCCGGCGAATGCTAGACTGCGACTGACTGGTTAATCATTACTCACTAGTAACTGGCTCACTGAGTAGGGTTCGCTGCTCCTTATTTAGCCTTGGCATGGACAACAGAGAAAACAGTTATGTGATAGGTACAGGTGTTGCTAGCATCACTGTCAAGAGTTGTTTCTTGCTGTGTAGCAACCGTGGTATCCCTTGCTAATGTCACCGCGGCAATGGTTGCCTGACACAGTTGCTCTTCTGTTACGTCACTGTGGGGGAGAGGGCGCCCACCGAGCATTGCATACTGGTGGAAGGAGTGGGGGTATGTGACGTCACTCAAGGAAACTCGGAGTTCACATGACCCCCACTTCCCGTTGTGCCATCCACGTCACAATATTTTCTTGGACACTGACTTGGAATGTTGTCCATAATGGTCTGATTGTTTGTAGGTGAATTTGGGAGAATGCTTTGTGCATCTCTTGAAGTTTTCAAAATTCATTTCATTATGATGCCCTTCTCCAGTCTTCATTTTGCCCTAAACATTAAAACATTGCTGGACATGAATATTGTTGGGTGTGAGTGAGTATAGATGGCGTTTATATCGATAGTTGGATTTACTGAACATTTACGGATCATAACTACAAGTAACTATAGTGCTTTTGATAATTCACACATACTGCAGTTCACTACAGAATCTTCAGCAGTCTTTGCCTGGTGACAATTCCAACTGTCCTTTTGTGCTCACATTCTTTTCTGACTCCTACAACAAAGTAATTACTCCAGTTGTCTTTGGCATGGACCATGCAGAAAACACCATTCATCTGTGGGTTTGCATGCCACAATATGTTTGTGCCACCATGGTCATGAATCTTTGGGTAGGATTGTTATTTTTTTCACCAAATTTATCATCGTTTGTCAGCATTTCCTTTCTGTATAATGAGAAGGGATCCACATTTTATCCATATATACAATGGGATTAAAACAACCACATTTTGTGTAGCCATTCCAGAACACTAAAATGTCTGGCTGTACCACCATTATCATTCCATTTCATAGACTTGCCAGTTCTTGAACTGAAACTGCAAACATTTTCTGATTTTTTGTAATGTATCTTTTTCTTCCAGTTGATTATTTGTGAATAGTAAATGGATTAGCTTTGTGTGTGTGTATGAAATTCCTGCTTTACTCTGAAGACTGGATAATATTTCTTGGTACAATACAGTTGAATTCATGGAGTGAAGTTATCAAAGAATGTTTTTCTCTTTTAGCCTCTTATATTATATTTATAATTATTTGCTTTCTGTCATTGTATAGATTTATTTCAAGAAAGAGCTATGTTCCACTGTTCATAGGGGGAAAGTATATTGACTGCCTTCTATAAAGTAAGTGTCCCACCACATGTAACAAAATCATTGTCTTGCTGACTATATGCAGAGGGTTATGTATGATAGGTTACAGGGTAGAAGTTCACGTTTTTCCACAGCTTTGCTGCCAGCATCATTACCTATGTCCATTGCGCACATAATTGATAACATTTTTAGTTAAAAATGGTTAAATATACTTAATGAGGTAAATATAAATAAGATACATATAGGCTATAAATTTCAGAATACTGTGGCATATTTATCCAAGGCAAGAACTGTGGAGCCAAAGCAACAACCGTTGCTAGCAAACGGCTCTGAGACGTTTGTTTCTAGGCACTGTCTTAGTTTAAGATAAGGGCCCGGTGGTTGAGAAATGCTGATTTAGAGCATACAAGTTTGGCATTCTGTTCGTAATTTTTTTAAGTGATGCTCTTGTGTGT